TACATTTAAATTGAAGATGTCTCTTAAAAATTCAATGGAGCAAACAACACAATTCATAAATGGGAAAAAGACTTGAACAGATATTTCTCCAAAGATATACAGACAGCCAATAAGCACATGGAAAGATGGCCAACATCACTAGTCATTAGTCAAATCGAGACCACAATGAGATACCACTTCACATCCACTAGGATGGCTATAATAAAAAAATTAAAAATTTTAAAAAAGAAAACGGAAAGTAACAAGTGTTGGCAAGGATGGGGAGAAGCTGGAACACACGTGCCTTGCTGGCGGGAATGTAGAAGGGTGTAGCTGCTGTAGAAAGCAGTTTGGCAGTTTCTCAAAAGGTTAATTGGAGAACTACCATATAACCTACTAATTCTACTCCTAGGTATATATCCAAAAGAATTGAAAGGAGGGGACTGAACAGATATTTGTACACTAATGTTCACAGCATCATTATTCTCAGTAGTCAAAAGGAAGAAACAACCCGAGTGTCCAGCAACAGATGAATGGATAAACAAAATGTGGTATACACACACATGATGGAATTTTATTCAGCCTTAAAAAGGAAGGACATTCTGACACATGGTGCAACACAGGTAAACTTTGAAAACATGATGCTTAGTGAAATAAGCTAGATGCAAAAGGATAACCATACGATTCTAGTTATATGAGGTACTTAGGACAAGTAAATTCATAGAGACAAAAATTAGAATGCTGGTTACAGGGGGATGAGAAGAGAGAATGGAAAATTGTTATTTAATTTAGGGTATAAAGTTTTTGTTGGAGATGAAAAATTTGGGATATAGATAATAGCAATGATGACACAACATTGTGAAATGTAATTAATTTACGTTTATGGATGATTAAAATAAATAAATATTATGTATATTTTACCACAATAAAAAAAATCAATAAGATCTTCATTCAAATAAAGGAAATATGGTTCTTAAATTTGTCACAGATGACCTTGGCTACAACTAGAAAAAAATAAAATTTTCTTCTAAATTCTGACAACAGTAAATGGCAGACATCTTTACTTAAAAAACACTGATGAAATATAGGTTGAATTATGACTAGGGAGGAAGAGGAAAGCATTATAATTCCAGAAAAGAGAAGACAGGAAGATAGAATGATCCAAAGCAGATGCAGAGAGCCACGAATTGACCCCTTTGGCTGTGACCGCTGATGAGCAAAGGGAAAAACAGGACACAGGTTGGTAAGTACACCGGAACCCAGCCACAGCGGGTCTTGTTGAGCATGAAGTTCAGGGAGTTTGTACGTTTAACTGGACTATAATCACATTCTAGTTGATCCATGACTTCACCAAAGAGAAAAATCAATGGCTGGAAGCAAGCTGACCTCAGGGGCTTTGATTCAGGATTGGACACAGAAGGGTATTCTTCTAAGGAGAATGCCAGCTTAAATATGGGGGAGAAAACTCTTTTTCCTATCACCCCTAATGGAGCCTTGCTGTGTGGATGGCAAGGGCACTCCTCATCAAAGCCACCCACATCTGCGTGGAGGCAGCTTATCCTGCCTGCACACAAAGGAACAGTGCTGGCCTCGCACGCCCAAGTGCACAAAGTGCTACAAAAATGTTTTGGCAATGCTAAGTCTTTATTTTCCCATAATACATGCAAATTAATTCTGTCCAGCAAAGTGGTCATTTTTGTAAGAACATTTACTTGTCCTCTATTCTTGGCTAGGGAGATTTGTTTCAAACCATCAAAACATACATGTTTACTACACTCATTCTCTTCAGTTCAATGTTGAGAATTCTGAATATATTCTTCTCCAGTTATTATCACATTGAGCCAGTATTTAATATAGTATTAAAAAAATTACGGGTTAAATGGGTGCCCTAGCCTGGGAGCCTCTCCACCACTTAGAACACATGATTCCTACAGAAAATCAAGCCCAGTGAATCTTTGGAAGAACATCCATGGCTGAGGTGGAAGTTGCCTGTATTAGGATTTTGCTGGCCCTGCTGATGGCTTGATCAGTTTCTAAAACTGAAATGACTACAGAGGTGTAGAGGCCAAGGTATAGATATGTGAGCAGGTGGGGGACAAGGACAGCTGAGTTAATGTTCACATGAAAGTCGTTTTGTCCACTTTCAATAGTCAGTAGCTCAAGGCTTGGCGGAAGGCTAAAACTATTACTAGAGATGTTGACCTACTTGCAGAGAAGTTAGAGTTTCTAATTTGGGCGCTTTGGCAGATCCGCTCTGTAGCACATTGAATAAAATCCTTTAAACATAAAAGTTGGTATATATGTAGTGAAGGTCTTTAACAAAGTGATATTTGGTATAAATCCTACATCAAACATATGGTTTTCCCTGAGCAGGGAAGAACATGAATTATGAGGAATTATCTCTGAGATAAGTTTGATATATCCCCCAAATGAAAAGTTCTTACTATGAGAATAGTAAGAGGGAAAGTAAGGGGAAAACACAAATCCAACACTACTGACCTGTCCCTAAAAATTTCAACATCTTCTGTGTCAAGCAACCATCAGAATAGTTCCTGATATCACGGGAGCTAAAAATCAATGACTTTTAAATATGTCATTTTTGTTTGAAAACTATCAATCTGAGAATAAATAAGTGAACGAGGAAAAAACTTGTTTTTCCTTGAGTTTTTATCTCAGTTTTTTAAAAAACTGGACAAATTATTTTAATGTTTAGTTTTCATATCTGGATATAATCATCCATTTTCCACAGAAATCATATCTCAAGTCACTTGAAATTTCTGACTTAAATATGCAGTTATAATTTATTACGATATGCCATCCTCCAGGGAAAACTATGATAAGCTATAAATTCACAAAATCAAGAAGAATAATGTAAACACCATTCTTTATTCCAACGGTGTCTTGAAAGAATGAGCAAAAAAAAGCTCCATCCATGAAAGGTATTTTGTAGTATCATAACGAGTAAAACACTACAGTTATGAAATGGTTACTTCATTACATATAGTATAAATGAAAGTTATTTATAAAACAGTATGAACACTCTCATCATTAACAGCAAATTCTTGGCTCTCCTGAGCTGCGCCTAAATTCCATCCCCCCATTCCACACACACACACACATGCACACGAACACACACACTCACCTGTATAGAGGCCTCGCTCTTCATGAGATAGCGAACCTTACTGAGAATAGACTGCTGGAGCTGGGGCCAGGATATGGCTCTGTCTTCCCTTATCAGGAAAGGTGGCCCAAACCTGAAAATCCAAGCAAATCAGGTTATTCTAATAAAGGAAAAACCAACAACATCCAACAGTCATGAGTGGTTGCTCTACTCATGCCTTCTCAATTGGATAAGAGTTAAAAGCCAAGCACAACAACTCAACAACAAAAAAGCAAATAATCTCATTAAAAAGTAGGCAAAGGATCTGAATAGACCTTTCTCGAAAGAAGATATATACACATGGCCAACGGGCATATGACAAATTGCTCAACATCACTAACCATCAGGGAAATGCAAATCAAAATCACAATAAGATATCATCTCACCCCTTTTAGAATGGTTATTATCAAAAAGACATATGTAACAAATGTTGGCAAGGATGCGGAAGAAAGGAAACTCTCACACACTGTTGGCGAGAATGTAAATTAGAACAGCCGTTATGCAGAACAGTATGGAGGTTTCTCAAAAAACTAAGAATAGAACTACTACATCATCCAGCAATCCCACTACTGGGTATCTATCCAAAGAAAAGAAAATCAGTATGTCAAAGGGATATTTGCACTCCTGTGTTTATTGCAACATTATTCCCAGTAGCCAAGAGATGGAATCAACCGAACTGTCCATCAACAGATGAACAGATAAAGAAAATGTGGTATATTTACACAATGGAACACTATTCGGCCATAAAAAAGAATGAAGTCCTGTATTTGCAGCAACAGAGATGAGCCTGGAGGATGTTATGTTACGTGAAATAAGCCAGGCACAGAAAGATAAATACTGCATGTTCTCACTCATATGTGCGAACTAAAATAGTTGATCTCAAAGAAGCAGAGTGTGGAATGGTGGTTCCTATAGGTTGGGAAGGGCAGCAGGGAAGCAAGAATAGGAAGAGGTTGGTTAACAGACACAAAATTACAGCCAGATGGGAGGAATAAGTTCTAGTGTTCCATAGCAGTGTAGGGTGGCTATACTTAACAATAATTTATTGTACATTTTCAAATAGCTAGAAGAGAAGATTCTGAATCTTCCCAACACACAGAAATAAATGTTTGAGGTGATGGATATGCTAATTACCCTGATCGATCATTATACACTGTATACATGTATGGAAATATTATATTGTACCCTATAAATATGTATAATTCTGTGTCAATTAAAAATAATAAATCTTAAAAAGAGCCAAGCACAATATTAAATTATCAAAGAACCTCATTGCAAATGGAGACGTTGCAATGTAAACCTCTGTTTACAGACTCAGAGATGCAGAGCCAGAGAGCACTGCAATTGTACACAGGTTGCTCCAAATGTCAGGGTGGCTGATAAACTCTCTTCCTCACAGCTGGGAGTAGAGTAAGAGAACACTCACACCAGAGGAAAGCAAGACAGAGATAAATCCAGATGACACAATCGTTGGTTTTGTGTATCAGGAATAGTCTCTTAACAAGGGATGTTTTCCATACCCAAGCTGAGGAGAGCACAGCAGTGAGCCTGTAGTACAGGGTAGGCCTGCGGCTGTAGGTCCTACCTCTGCTGGACAAATCACTGACCACTCACCAGTCCTTGGCCACACTGCAGTTTGTGTGAAGAGCCAATGGGGTAAGAATGTGAAACAAACTCTGCTAAACCACAGCACAAATACGAGGTGGTATGTCCGGGCTGGCAAGGGCACAGTGCATCCATTGTTATATGGACAGATCGGTTTATTTAACTAAGCTTGTATTGTGGGGCATTCAGGTTGCTTCCAAGCTTTTATTTAAACAATGCTTGCTAATGGCAGGAACTCGATATAACCTTGCGCATAACCTCTGGGTACACATAACCAATTGTTCCTTTAGGATAAATTTCCAGGAGTAAAAAGGCAAGATCAAAGATATTTATTCCCAAACTGCCCTCTAGAAAAGCCATACCAGTTTACCTGGTTCCCTGGCCTCTGACCCAGAATGAGTATTATCAATTTCTAAAAATTATTTAACACTCTGAAAGGTTAAGAATAAGATATTGCCATCGCAATCAGAATTTCTTCTACTACTAACGACGCTGAATATTTTAACCTATGCTTGTATTTCTTCTGTGAACTTATGCTCATCCCTGTGGCTCATTTTACCAAGAGTGTTTATTTCATTCAGTTGAGAGAGAGCTGGGTTTTAAATGATGGATATGAATCCTTCACCTCTTCACATGACATAAATACTTTTCCTCCTTTGTCCTTTGCCTTTCAAATTTAGTTTAAAATTTTAAAGAAATCTATAGCCTCCCAAATTAGTTGTTAAAATAGCCCCCCAGCCAAAGACATAAATAACCCCCTGTATTGTTTTTAAGTTATTTTACAGTTTCCGTTTCTATAGTTACCTCTCTAATCAATCTGGAATTTATACATGTGAACTTATGGCAGGAGGGAAAAATTGACCATTTAAAATAAAAAGAAATCAATTAGCCTAGTCTTACTTACTGAATAATTCATTCACTTTCTAGTAATATGAAATATTATGCTTTTATCATATAATAAATACTTACAGATACTTGGCCTTTTCTATTCCATGGGTTTTATTGTATATTCTTCTACCCATATTACCATATTTTAATAATTAAAACTCTATTCTGCATTAATATTAATAGAACGACAATCCTGCTTCCTTCTTTACTCTCTCACAATATTTTTTGGCTATTCTTACCAGTTTATTACTCCAGATACATTTTAGAAACACTTTATCAATCTAAATATATCTTAATGGAATTCTATCTTTTAAACACTTTATTTGGACCATATAAGAAAGCTATCTGTTTTATCTGTTTTTGTGTATTTGTCATATAACCAGTCACTTTTCTGAACCCTTTCATTAGTTCTAATCACTTTCCAGTGCTTCGATTTCTGGACAGGCAACCAAACAATCTACAAATAGTGGCAATTTCATGTCCTCTTACAGCCAGTTTCTTTCAGTACCATCTCATAACACAATATAAAATAACAGCGGTAAGAGCCATAATAATTGTTCCCCCAATTAACAGGAAAGCCTCTACCTGGTGTTTAATGGTTAAGAATGACATCAGCCGCCTGCTTAAGGCAGTTACTTCTGATCCTTTTGATCAAAAAGTATCCGACTCCCTATTCCTAGTTTATTAACCTTGGAAACATATTTAATTTTATTCTAGACAGAATCCCAAGTACAAATCCCAGACAACACATGAAAAAAGGATGAAGTTAAACATACCTGCTAGCCTGCTGCCCTGACCCCACCAAGTTACAGAAGAGGATTAGCACCTTGTTCTCACTGTGGAGAGACAGGGGGAATCGCTGACCCTCACGGGCTGCCAAGCGTGGGGAAACCGACAACCCTGATGGATGAGCTGGAGGAGAGAGAATGACATTCGTATTCCTAAAGGAGCTGGGTCAGAACCTTGGCTTCTCTAGCCCTTCTTTCTCTCTGAGCATCTATTAACCACCAGTGGGAGACACCAGAAGGCTTTAGGGGAGGAGACGATCAGGTTCATGGCACTCGTGCCATCTGATACCTGGCACACGAATATCACATACATGGTAGTGAACTTGCAGTTGTGTTCAGCCAATAATTTTAAAATAGGGACAAGAATTTTAACTAATACTTTTCTAAGCAATCTGAAAACTATTCCAAAATAGCTTTGGTTGCTTTATTGCCTTCATCAGAGAGCCCTCAGAGATCCCCTCTCTTAGAAAGCCAACATAAGAAGTACACAGAGAAGGTGAGACTCTCTACCAATGAGGAAGCAGAGGAACTAGACTAGCCTCTATTTCCAACCAGTTCTGACGTTTTGACTTTCAAGGGAAAGATGTGTCACCTATGACTGAATTTGAAACAAGGACTCTTTCGCTTCGTTGTAACACAGTCAGGGTTAGTCAATGTCTGGTTCCAGACTCCAACGCCCAGAGTCTCCTTGACAACCCAGAGAACTGCAAACATCCCACCCCACAGCTTGGTACCTAGGCTGGCTGAGGACATGCGGCCAGGGCATAGGATTCATCTGGGGTATATCGTAACACTGGCACAAGGTCCTTTAAATATGGGCCTTCTTGACTGGCTAATAGGGCCAAAATGTATACTGAACTACAAATAAAGGCTGTTAGAAATTGACCATTTGAGTCAATCTAAGGTTTAGAAAAAACAAGCATTAGGAAGTAGAACTATTTTTTTTTTAAAGTCATTTAGTAACCTCTTTGACCATCTACTGCTCAAATCTGTAGAAATTTTACTTTAAACATAGACCTTGAACCATAAGAGTCCTGAGGACAAAGATGACCCAGCACCTATACTAAATAGTGATTCTCAGAGTGTGGTTCCCAGGCCAGCAGCACCAACACCACCAGGGAACCTGTTAGACATGCAGACTCTCAGGCCGCACCTCAGGTCACCGAATCACAAACTCTATGGGTAGGGCCCAGAAATCTGCTCTAACAAGCCCTCCAGGTGATTCTGATGCTAAGATTTTGAGAACCCCTGTACTAGTTGAATAATTTTTAATATCAATCATCTGTATACCAAATTATCCAGGAAAATAAGCCTGACAATTCCCAGTGCTAAAACTAGGTATTTTATGCCTTAGCACCCAAAGACTACCCTCTCAAACCTATAACTCATAATAGCCAAATAAAGTTATGCAAAGTGCTATTGTACCTGAGAGTGTCCCCTGGCCAGGTGACGAAGAGACTTGGAAGGCATACACATTATCTCCTTCTGCAATGGTATTCAGGTCCTCTTCATCAAAGAAAGACCGCTGGAATCCACTGGAATACAGTTCAACCAAGATCACCTGAAAGGAAAAGGATCATTTTCCCTCTTGATTTCTCAAAGAGAACTTAACAGATAAGAAATCTAAAAGTGACTGAGAGTCAACACCCCTTTTTACCCTGTCCTTCCTTTTAAGTGGCTATATATTTTTAGTAGTAAAACACAGTAGGTATAATAATTAGATTGACCACGGACATCTCAACTGCAACAAAAAAGAAAACTGAAAAAATCTGAAATTTTATACCCAGCTAAACTATCATGGAAACCGAGAATAAAATAAAGCCCTCTTGGGGTAAACAAAAAGTGAATGCTTACTTACTAACAGAGCTCCACTGAAAGAACTTTTAAATAGGGTTACTAACCTTTTTCACATTATGTTACACATAAAAAATGTTTTTATGGAACACTGAGTTAAACAGAAGGAGACGGTTCTATAGTGCAAGAGGGGGTAACTACCTTTGGGGTCCTGGCTGCCCTAGACCCAACTCTCCTGCCCTCAGGGCTGAAAAAATCGATATCTCAGCACACATAACCCATTCCATTTACAGTATACTGGCTGGGAAGTTCTCTTTTAAAAAATATATTTCAAGATTTAAAAAAAAATGCTGAATCAGAAGGAAAATTTTAGTTGTAAGAATAAATTATGAACCAAACAAATGGTAAACATGGGTAAATGTAAACATGCATTGACCATATCAAACTACGATATTAACTATTACTACTACAGCAATTCGGGGGAGAAGGAAGCAAGAATTAAAATACAGGACAGCAGTATCTATTTATAATAACATCTAAATCAAAAAAGTATAAGGGAAATTAAAGCACACCAAGATCCTTGTGTTGTTTGGGAAAATTAACATCAGGCTTTTTAAATTATGCATGTTGGCATTTTATTAATAATAATAACCATTAAAAGAATAGAAATATAATATATGTCCCAAACCAGAAGAGATAAAGAAAAGTTGCTCAGTCCAACAGCAGCAGAAAAGGAGGGGGGAAGGGGAGGGGAAAGCCAAAAAAAAAAAAAAAAAGGCAGGGTAAATAGAAAGCATAAAATGACTAAAATAAATCTTAACATATCCATAATCATAGATAATGTAAGTAGAATATACTTGCCAATTTAAGAAACAAAACATCAAAATAGAGTTTAAGTTCCATTCAAAATGCCCATCCCTAGTGAGTACTATGTCCCTGAACAAAGACACCACACCTCTCGGAATCCTGTCAGTCCTTCTTCTACACTCTTAATTATCTGAACTTGAACCTCTCTCAGACTTCCTCCTTTCGATCTTTTCTGACTACCATTTTCTCCCCCTGGACTTGCACCCACTGTCCTCTCTCTCTCTCAGTAGGTTCCCATAGAGCACTTTAAGTTGACAAAGCAAGGTACACACATTTTTCCCCCTTTTGAGATTGTCATGAACATCCTGCAAGGTGTGATAGAGGTCAGAGGGGCTAACTGGATGCGGGCAGGAAAGAGCCCACTGGGGAGACAGAAAGGCTCAGTAACCATGGTGTTTATGCAGATGCAGACATATGCAAAACATAACAAACCTCAACCTTATGATATGTGTTATCTTTATTGTATGTGTATAGTATGTGTATGTGTGTTGTATTTTAACCTTAACAAAAAGGTTAAACATATTTTTTGATTTGAAAAAAATCCCATGAGGTAGTCAGGGAAGTATAAATTTCCCATGCTACAGTTAAAGACATAGAGGACCAATCACATACTTTGTCTGGAGTGGGAAAGCTAGAGAGTTGCTGAATCACAAGGAGACCCCCACTCAGGGCCCCTCACATCCTGCCACACTGCCTTGCGCCACAATCACCTCTACCCCACCTTTCGGAGGGCCCCTCCAGGCACAGTGAATCCAATCCCTTTACCAAGATTCCTTCTCTAAAAAAAACTAGAGCACAGCCATCCCACCTTCCCCCAGATCTCCTCACATCATCAGTTCTCTTAGCAGTTCTTCATTTATTGTCCCTTCACTATCCTGGTTTATATCCAGGAGTGAAAATATACAATAATCACTTAGGCTATGAAATCAAGCCATCTGCATTCAAATCCCGGCTCAGCCACTTACTAGCTGTGTGACATTGGGCAATTCACTTAACCTGTCAGGACTTCCTTTGTCCTCACAGGTAAAATGAGGATAATTGTAATGTCTTCTTCACAGGATGCTTGTGATTAAATCAGCTATGAATATCAAGTCCATAGAACAGTGCCCCATACTTAGTAAGCACTGAGGGCTAGCTACTGTTGCAATTATTGCAATCACAGTCATCATCGCCTTCTTGGAAGGCAAAGAGTCCTTTTCCAGTCATTCTGTGTAAATACAGGGAGAAGTCGAGGCCAGTCATCAAGGACACCAGACTCCGCTAATCAAACAGAAACCTATGAGTCATGCTGGAGTCACCTGGGAACCACAGATCAGCCTAGACAATCTAGACAGTTGGCCCTGTTAGCATTCTGTCATCCAGTGAGCAGGCCCCAGTGCAACCCCATCACACCTCATCTGCAGGGACGCCTCCTTCCTCTGCAACCATCTTCCTCAGGGCTGCCACTGTGCTGAGGATCGGCACGGCCAGCCCAACCCGCAGGAACTGCTGGCTCTTAGAGGGGAAGACCAAGGTGACGCTCAAGAATCTGGAAAATAGGAAGGGGCAACATCCTTAAAGGACTGACAAGAACCGTCAACACCACCATTGACATTGGATCAAGTTCAGCACTTCCGTCATCTCTGCTTCCTGGTTGGGTCCCTGCACTTTAGGTACACTGTCACCAGGTGGCAGCAGAGAGCCAAATCGCCTAAACTGCTTTTCCAGAGACTGGAAATAAAAGGTATTTGGTTAAGAATCACCATATAGATCTCTAAGCTCAAGGCTCTATTTGTTCAGTAGATAATCTTAAGCAAAAACAACCTCTGAATTTTGACAAGTAAAGTTGCTTCTTCCAGTACAAAGCAACACTATTGATGATATTCTCTCTCTTTAAGAAATTCTCCCTTGGGAATCTGCTTCCACTTCCCACTATCCCCAGCAGCACAGTCTTCCAGCTTCTGTTTCTCTTGTCTATATTGCAGTCATTGTCCAAGCCACACGGCTAATTAGCAGAGCTGGGATTTGAACCTAGGCAGTTTGGCTCCAGACTCAGTGATCTTAACCACTGTGCTATGGTGCATCAGGCCAGAAGCCTTAGATCACATCTATCAGTAGACATTATCCGACAGCGTCACTGATAATAGCACAAGCCAATCGTTATACTTGTAGTGCAGGTGATCAGCAGCACAGGATTCTAGAACAGAAAGGGAGACTGAGTTGCCAGGGAAGGCTTTCTGAAAACGCCATGTCTTCAGCTGCATCCTAAGGATGGAGGACATCAACAGGTAAGAGGAATGGCACTTAAGGAGGTGGCGAACACAAAGAAATGCCTCTGTCTCATGCCAGTGAAGGCACCCCACGTAGGAGCTCACTACCATTGCAGGACACTGACCTTGGCCATTTGCCTTAGTGGTCACTGCCAAGACTCGGCTCCTTGGAAGCAGCCTTCACCACGCGCCTCCTACTCTGACGGGGCTGAGCTCCGCCGCGCCTCTTGCCCGGCCCTGCTTCCACTTTTCTTCTTTCTCACCTCCCCCAAACAGCCCTTTTCCTCTTTCTTTGCTCCTTAAAGAAGTCTTTTTACTACACCTTCCCAAAGAAGAAAAAGGATTTTGAAAAAGGCAGGGAAAAGCAAGTGGTGACAGATTTTCTCTCGTTTGCCCCTGTCCGCCCCCGTGATACCGATGGGCCCACGCCAGCTTCTGAACAGGCCACGGACCTAGACCTGGCAACGGTGCTGATAAGGGAAAGCATTCTGTTCCCGATACCTTCCTCAGATAAAGAAGGGGCACGGTGATCTTTCCCTTTGATTGTCACATTCAATAACTGCGCTTCACCTGGCTACGAGACTGGTTTCTGGAGAAATGCTGGCGGAGAAGCAAACGAGAGAAGACGGCAGATGCGAGGCCAGAAAGTTTCCCGTAACGAGTGAGGATGAAGTCAAGTTCACCGGGCAAGCCGCGACACTCACGTACCTCGTCTGGCGCAGGGGGATGGGCAGGGACACACACAGGAAAGGATCGAAGGTGTTGCTCTGTTTCAGGCAGTGGGGACAGGTCAAGGAAGATCTGCCAGGGTGAAGAACAGAAAGGGAAGTTTAATCGCATGATAACAACGTAGCGGTCCCTCAAAAAGTTACACACAGAATAACCACTGCATTTGTGCCCCCAGCAATTCCACTCCTAGGTATGGACCCAGAAGAACTGAAAACAGGTGTTCAAATGTTCGTACACAAATGCTCACAGCAATACTCACAATAGTCAAAATACAGAAACAACACAAATGTCCACCAACAGATAAATGGGTAAACAGAACGTGGTACAGCCACACGGTGGGATGCATCGGCCATAAAGAGGAACGAAGTGCGATGAACTCTGAAAACACTGCGCTAAGTGAAAGAAGCCAGACACGAAAGTCCACATATTGTACGATTCTGTGTATATGAAATACGCAGAATAGGTAAGGCCACGGAGACGGAAAGCAAGTTGGGGGTTGCCAGGAGCTGAGGGAGAGGGGGATGAGGACCGACTGCTCACTGGGTACAGGATTTCTTTCGGGGTGATGAAAATGTCTAGGAACTAGAAAGAAGTGGCAGTTGCACAACGATGTGCATGCCACGGAACTGTACACCTAAAAACGGTTGATTTTATGTTACGGGACTTCCACCCCAACAAAAATAAAGTGGGGGGAGAGAGCTGAGTCACATGTATGGTGCACTGAGTGTGGGAAGGGAAGCCAGAACCCTCCAGATAGGAACCAGCATGCCAACTGCCAAGCTGAAGGCATCTCAGGGCTAGCTTTTCCCCTGGTGCTCAGCCTCCCTGTGCACCCAGAATCACAAAAGAAGCTTTTTAAAATTTCGAGATTCTGTTTCAAGGCTGATGGAGAGGGGCCCAGACATCAAAATTAAAAAGAAAAAAATTCAGGGAGCTTTTAATCTCCCCAGGTGACTCTAATGTTCAGCCAGAGTAGAGAACCACTGATGTAATCCACCCTCCTCATTGTACTGATGAAGAAACAATAAAGTTCAGAAAATAGCAGCTAATAGTAACAGCTAATATTCAAACTGTGTTTACTAAGAACTGGGCATCATTCTGAGCACTGGGCATATATTAACCGATTTACTACCCATAACCACCAATATCATATCCATTTTACAAAAGAGAAAGCTGAAACACAGAGAGGTTAAGTAATTTGCCAAAGGACACACAGCTCTTAAGTGACAAAGCCAGGCTCATGTTCATCACCATTCCTATGTTCTTTAGTACCAGTGGGTGAGGCATCAATTGGTTCAGAGTATACATGCTATTTATATTCTTTTAACTCTTTTAAATTTAATACTCCATACTTTAAAACGGATCTCTAAAAGTGAAGTGCAACTTTTATATTCCACATAGGTGCTCCAATTTTATTTCTTTAATCATATAACGTATCATGTTCTTCCAAGATAGACGTCAATGTAGATTTTACCACATTACTTATCCTAAAATCTACATTAACTTCCTGGAGGATGTGGAACAAGACCGCTGGCAGTTGGGCTCTGAAGTCCACGCTCTTACCACTGGACGCCTTGCCAGGGTAAGTGAGCAAGTCGACCAGAGCTGGCATCAGAACAGGTTTCCTGGGTCCCAGTGGAAAGCGCTAGCCCCGCTTGATTGGTTTTCCACTGAGCAGACAGACACACGCAACATAAACCCCAGTGTGCTGCCCAAGGCGGCCCTGAGTGACCTGCTCATTGCTGGTCAGTTCTCTTGGATACAAGTTAACAGAATGTCAAGCTGATCTTAGAAAACAGACCCCAGGATTGAAAGCCCAATCACTCTTGCTGCCTCTGGTAGCTTCCCTTTGGAAGAACCGTGACAGTGCCTTTGGTATCAGACAGTGAGCGCCAGCCAGCATGGGGACCTGATGTCGGTGAGGTCCCTTCTGCCACCCCGTTTCTCCTCCAATCCTTCTCCACCTTCACCCATCACATACTTAGGCATAAAATTGGCCTAAAGGATATACTTTTGTCCTTGGGAAATTTCCAAATTCCCGTTTCACATGTATATGAACAAATGAAAGAGGAGATTTGTCGGTGACTTCTTCATTTTTTTCAGCCGCGTGAAACTAAGCCGCATTGTGTTTTTCTTGTCGAGTTGCAACATATTTAACTGGTTCAGGGATATGACCTTTATATTGAACCACGAACCCCTGTCAGGCAGCAAGAGGTGTGTGGTTTGGAAAAAAAAATAGAATGGGCTTATATTTAAAGCATGAAGAAAATATACTGTTTTCATAATAAACTACAGAAAGGATGTGAAATACCCCCATTTCTCGAAGGTTGAGAAATGAGGACAGAGTGAATGGGACCAACAGATCTGGAAGAGGACAGAGAGGCAGAGTCACTTTTATAGAAAACTCTGACCACCTTACCAGGCTTAGCAATAGCCCAACGTGGCCTGAGAGGTCCTTTCGTCCTCACGTCCCCTCCAAGGCATTTGCAGTCCTGTTCTATTGTCCCCCAGGTGCTCACAGGGCAAAAGGACAGAAAATCACACCACTGCCCTTCAATGTTTATGTGTCTGTTTCCCTAAGGTATCCAGTTGTCAAACTGCTTCTGTTACAAAGCTAATCAATTGCTTTCCGCCTGCTACAAATGCCCAAACATGAGCCGCAGGCTTTGACCCTGATGTCTTGCCACTCTGCTCTTTAACTGTTGCCAACACACACATATCTTACACCTCAAACCCGGCCAACTTTACCTGCTCACTGGGCAGTGGAACTGACGTCTACGCAAACCACGATAATTATGACAACACATAAGCAAGATGTCACCATTCCAAAATCTGTTCTGAGGAAGTCTTTCAAAACATACTCTGCCTAAAAGGGAAAGCTCCCTGTAATGGGGGTGACAGATTAGATTTTCTGTGAATAAAGGCAATGAATGACATGAAGAATTTGAACACACACACACACACACACACACACACACACAAAACACACAATCCCTACTCCAGCCAAAACTCCAGCATAGTAACAATCCTTGGTTATTACACTTGCAAGACATTTTTAGGTTGTGATAACAATCACATGGAATAACTAAGTATTTCCCCTACAGCCATACCTCCAGCACTCTAATACTGTTCTCTATTCTCTCCTCCAGCCAAAGTAAAACTCCCAGTCCCTTAAAAAGGGCTTAAGGGGAGATGGAAGAGGGAGAATCTCAGTGAACAGAGGCCTCTGAATTAACCCATGATAACATCCATGCCGTTCATAGAGAAGGCGGATCCCATTCCAGGCACACCCTACCCCGTGGAGAGGAAGCCAGGGAGGGACGGGGCAACAGGTACCACCAGCTTGGAGCTGCCCCCTTGACCACTGCAGAAAAGCACCTCTCAGTCCTCAAAAGCCTTCACCTGGATGGGCATCCCTGGTGACACTTTTCCTTTACTCTAGACCATCATGCGCAGAGTAGGTGTTTTAAGCTGTCACCAGTCCATTTTTAGCATGAACACCTCGCATCTTACTCATCACACCGCAGGAAAGAAAGCTGCCCAAAGGGCACTGGCAGTCTTTAATATCCAATCAGCTCCATGTCGCTCCCTCAGGAACGCCCCCACCCCTGACTCACCCCACACCAAGTCAGGCACCTGCAACATGCACTTCGGAGCACCCTCGAGTTTTCCTCCCAAGCACTCGCCAGTTATAATTACGTAAAAACTCAGGAATCACCCTAGACTCTCATCTTTCCCTCAGTCCCTCCACCACTCACCCCTCACCCCCTTAGCAGCCAGTCCTGCTGCCCCTACATCCAAAACTCACTCCAAACCCACCCACTGCCCTGCATCTCCACCACCGCCTTCGCGGTCCTTGCCACCATCAATCTCCCACCAGGACAATGGCAGCAGCATCACCCGCTGCTCCCACCTCCTCTCCTGTAAGAACCAGTCACCTCTTAAACTGATGAATGAGACCACATGCCGCTTTAAACTCCGCAGTGGCTTCCTGTGCCCTCTAGACTGAAACCCACACACTTGGACCAAAAACCTGCCCTACCAGGTCCTGCCCACCTCCTACCCACTCACCTCTCGGCAGCTCCCTTGGCCTTTCCATTCCTTGAACTTGCCAAGACCATTCCCAGCCCAGGCCCTTTGCCGTTGCTGTTTCCTCTGCCTGGAATACCATGGCGCCAATTATCTGAATGGTGGACTCCTTGTCACTTGATTCTCAGCTCCGATGCCCTTAGAAAAGCAGCCTTCCCTGAGCCCCTTATCCAATGCTGGCTGCCCCCGCCAAGTTACCCCTTGTCAGTTCACTGGTCACTAGCACATGTCATTTGCCTACACGTGTACTGCCTAATATCCCCCAACAGAATGTGAGCTCCACGAGAACAGGGGCTGAGTCTTGTTCACAGCACCTAGAAGAGAACCCGCACCCAGTAGAGCATGAAGGAACAAGGGTGTATTGGCTGGTATTTCTCTCTCATGGGCAAGGAGCTACGTTCCTCATGGTAACCGTGGACCAGGCACCATAGCAGACACTCGAATACTTGAAAGAAGGAAAGAGAGTGAACGTGGACAAGCGAGGAAGAGGGCAGAAAGAACAAAGTGAGCAGAGAAAAATGCATGAGTTTGTTGTACAAGGACGCCAATGGATGCTACCTGGTGGCAATTATCGGTGACCCCTCCCTTCTCTAACACACACGCACCTTATACTCTCCTCCCTCTTTCTAGATGTTCGTCTTTCCCTTCATCTATTTTTCTTTTCCTCTGTCTCCTTATTTTTGTCTCCAGCAGCCTCTGCTTTGGGCACCTGAAGATAAGACAGATGTCCTACAGGCGGCTTTCATAGCCAGTAGCTGTCAAGGTCAGCAGCCGCGAAATTAGGTTTGCCCTCTGCATACCTCCTGGAGGGTCACCCCAGCCCTCAGGAAATGAGCGGGCCTTTCTTCAGGCACAAGGAAATCTGGGCTCATTCAGAAGAGATTTCCGTTGTCCAATATTCTAAACAACCAAGGCAGGAATGGACGGCCCCACTGTCGTTCTGGCTGTTTCTTCAGGGGCTCCCCCCCGGAGGGCAGGGGCTAAGAGAACCTCTCCAGTGGAAAGCAGCTTTGGCATTTTCCCAAAGCGTTGCAGAGGCTGTTTGGTCTTCCTAAATAAACAATAACCCTTAAAGACAGTGATCATATCTTACTTATTTTATTGGTGATTTCTGAATATACTGTAAATCCTGAATCAGGACAATTTCTGGGCAATTTTAAGCAACCTCCTCCTATTCAAACACAAAGAATACAAACCCCCCAAAAGTACAGAAGTAAATAGCTGTAAGTAAGGGAATTCTAGTAAGACTGAATAATTGCTTCCTTGTTTGAAGAGGAGTAAATAAGAGGAGAAAACCACCAGGAGACCCGTAAACACCACAGCAGAGCAAAGCAAAGGGAGGATCATCCAGAAGACACAGAGAAAAGCACAGCTTTGAAATGATTTAATGCAGCATCCAGAAGAAAAATCTTTTTGGTATCTCTAATAGACAGCATAGCTTCTGGGCAACAGAAAATCACAACGAATACACAAGGTGAAATGGAAAAACAACAGAAGAGGAAGAATGACAGAGAAGGCAAAGGTAGGACCTGTGCTTCAGAGATATTTCAGCGGGAAAATGCTGGTTCTGCCACTTAACATGCGTCCTTGCAAAAAGTCCAACCTCCCAGATTGTAATGTGCGTCTCCTGGGACTTTTGTAAGGATTAGACAAAATATATATGTGTATGTGTATATGTATATATATTTGGTGGGAGGCATATATATATATGTGTATACACACACACACACAAATATGGACAAGCATGTCACTTAGAGGAAGATCTCTGTAGCCAATGGCTTCCCCTAACTCCTGATCACCGTGCTCATTCTCACCTTTACTTAAGCTCACATTTGTTCTTGTTGCATATGTTCCCACCCATTCAATCCTATTCATCCTGCAGAGCCCATCAAAAGGCACACCTCCTCCGAGCAGCCCAGGGGGATTTCTCCCCTCCAATCTCTCACTGCTACCAGTGCTTTCACTAAATATCATAATAATTAAAACATTCTGTCTTGTATGAGTCTCTGTACTTTCATATATAAAAGCGCAAAGAGAACACATATATTCTGAAGTCAAAGGCTGTGTAATATTCCATTTTTTTATATCTACCATAACTCTGGGAACTCTTGGACTCAGAATGACCTATTAAAGTGGGCTCTCAACAAACAGGAAGGGTCTACCCCCTGCAGAGGGATTGCTTGCTGCCTGCAGTACGGTCTGGCCTCCACATTCGCCCTCTGCGGAATCACCCTATCACCTCTCCTCCAAGGGGAGGTGCAAGGCCCAGAGCTAAGAAGGAAAAGAAGAAACACTAAGGTTCAGAGACAACAGGAATGAGCAGTTAATTGGGATTTACGATGGGAGTGAGAAGATGTCTATGGTTTTGTGTATAATCTCAGGGTAATCAGGCAATGGGAGACTGGTTGCCAGTGGTGAAGCTTGCTGGGCCCTTGGGTGATACATTCGGAATACATCCCGGTCTTACCTGTATTGTGCTTGAAAGTGGCTTTGCACAAAGCTTTGACCTAGAGAAAGCTGAGCCGACGGTGACAGGCAGTTCTCAGAGGTTTTACTGGCTTCAGGTGGAAGCTACAAAGAAATGAGGAAAAGAAGCAAGATTAGATACATCTGCTATCACTCAACTGCTTCCAGACCGCTGAGCCCGTGGCTTCCTCCTGGGCCTGCATCATCCCTTTCTGGGCCTCTGAGGAGTCTTGGCCTTCAGTGCTGCCTTTACCATAACACAGTGTTCTCTCAATCCCTTGACCTCCCAAAGTCCCCAAGAGAAAGAGTGTATGAAAAACCTGAAGCATGAACTTTGACGAATGCTCACTCCTACTCACCAGCCTCCACTACTCCCTCTGGATTGACAGCTTCTGTTCTTTATTTCCGTCCCGTTGGGCCTCAAAGCCTAGATGCCTCTTCTACATTTCACTTGGGTGGGCTGCCAGAACCTCAAATACGTCCACCCCAAATCTCTCCATCTTCCACCTGCCTGCTAAACCCCTCCTGGCCACACTTTCCAGTGAGCCAGTCTTCAGATAAGTACTGTCTTTTGCAGACAACCCAGGCTTTAGATACATAAGCTTCCTTCACTCCATCCGTCAGTCTTCTTGCATCCTTCCTTGCATTCCCTTGTGTATTTGTGTTTTGTGGGTACTGTGGCAAATTAGCAGGATCTCGTGTCTTCTAACAACAGGTATATATTCTCTCACGGTTCTCAGGACGAGACATCCAAAATCAGTACCACTGGGCTGAAATCAAGACATCAGCAGGGACACACTCCCTCCAGAGGCTCTAGCGGAGAGTCCACTCCTTGCCTCACCCAACTTCTGGTGGCTGCCAGAATTCCTGGCTTGTGGCCGTGTCACTCCAGCCTTCGTGGCTAGCATCTTCCAATTTCTCTCTGCTCTATCTCCATGCTGCTTTCTCCTCTGTGTGTCTCAAATCTCTCTCTGCCTCTCTCTTCTAAGAACACTTGGTATTACATTTAGGGCCCACTTGAATAATCCAGGTTAATGACCCCATCTCAAGATCCTTAACTTAATCACATCTGCAAAGTCTTTACCAGATAAGATAACACCTACAGGATGCAAGGATTAGGGCCTAATATTTTTTGGGGTCATTTTTTAGACTATCCCACCTCGGGGCTCCTGCCTGCCCCAATGTCACCAACCTCCTCTAGACCCCTACCATACCCAATATTAATTATTGCAGCTTCCTAGTTTCCCTAAGTTTATTCTTCACCCCCCACCTGCTCTCTATGACACACGGGACACGATTATTATTTTTTTTTTTTTTGAGACAGAGTCTCACTCTGTTGTCCTGACTAGAGTGAGTGCCGTGGCATCATCCTAGCTCACAGCAACCTCAAACTCCTGGGCTCAAGCAATCCTTCTGCCTCAGCCTCCTGAGTAGCTGGGACTACAGGCATGCGCCACCATGCCCGGCTAACTTTTTCTATATATTTTTAGTTGTCCGATTAATTTCTATTTTTTTTTTTTTAGTAGAGACAGGGTCTCGCTCTTGCTCAGGCTGGTTTCGAACTCCTGAGCTCAAACAATCCGCCCGCCTCGGCTTCCCAGAGTGCTAGGATTACAGGCATGAGCTACCGCGCCCAGCTGGGACACGATTATTTATTAAGACCTTGCTATGCAAAATCACTGTCCTGGAAGAGGACTGTCCCTAAGGGCAACCCCAGAATCAAAGCCAGTCGGCATATAAAGCTACTCAGTAACACACGAAATTACCTGTACAAGTGTCTACATAGGGCCACACATGAAATATGCCCTACAACAGTATTTCTCAGCTTTTCCATAATTGCTGTCCTCAAGGAGTCTTTTTAGACAATTTTTCCTAATCACTCCCACCATGACACTTTAATATCACAGATAAACTGTACATGTGTCTATGTGCTATATGAATATCTGTCCCCCAAAGACCAAGTTCTGGCGCATTGGGGCCTTTGGCACTTGTGTGCCATCATCCCCACTGAGAATGCATTACCCTTAAGACAGGCGGGCAGTGAGGTGTAGGTGAAGACCTGGGTGGAATTTGAGGTGAATCCTGAAGGATTTGAGAAAGCAGAGGACAGAACCCTGCAGAAGGAACGCACACGACACGTCTGGGGTAAAGTATACCGACGTGTGCAATTTACTTCAAAGTGCATCGAAAAAATAAGATGAGAAAAAAAAAAAGATGGAGTAATGAGTGGATAGAGAGATAGACAGATGGGTAAATGTGTGATAAAGCAAATTTAGTAAAATGCAAATTGTAGCCTCTAAGTGGTGGGTATGAGTGTTCACTGTACAATTAATTCAACTTGCCCATATGTTTGAGGTTTTTCATAATACAGTATTGGAACGAATAAGTGAGTACTCAGAATGGTCCTTCTTATTCATCCCGATACTTTATGAAGCCAAATTTGCCTAGATTACAGGATGTGCAAAGAGAAGTAGAAAACAGAGCTGGAAAGTGAGGCTGGTGCCAACATGGGTGGGGCCTACAAAGTCCTGCTCAGTAAACAGCACAGTTCCAGGGTCAAGAACATAGACTCCAGAGTCAGACTGCAGGGGTTCAAATCCCCACACCGGTACATGGCTGTGAGAGTTACTCAACATCTCTGACGCAGTTAAATAAATTACTTAATCTCTTTGTTCCATGGTTTCTCCACTGTAATAAGGGGATAATGATAGTACCTACCTGATAGGGATGTTTTGAGGATTCAATGATTGTGTGTGTGTGTGTGTGTGTGTGTGTGTGTGTGCGCGTGTGTGTGCGTGTGTGTGTAAAACACTTAGAACAGTGCCTGGTACAACGTAAGTGCTGTACAAGTGGTTCTTGTTGTTATACGACAGGGAGTGTCTGATGGGTTTGAACCTAGTGACATGCTTGGAGAGATGCTTTAACCTGATAGCCATTCCCAGATGAAGGATAAATTTGGAGGTTAGGACATAGATTAGGAGGCTCAAGGGTCCAGGCAGCAGCAGGGTGAACTAGAGCAGGAGCCGTGAAAATGAAGAGAAATGGATTCAGGACACCCTGTGTAAGTAGCTCGTATCTCAGCACCTGACTGGGACAACGCGGGGAGGAGATAAACATGACCAACTCCAAGCTTCCGATCTGGTACCTGGAGAAAGCCAGTTCCATCAGCAGAGAGGGAAAGACAAAAGGAGAAGTGGGTCTGGGAAGGGAACGCGAAGTTTGAGGGTGACGCGACACCCAGGCAGAGGCAGAGCTACCTTGCATGCGAGCGGGCACTGGTATGTTTTGGCTGCCCGGGATTCACTCCTCCTCCTTGTCAGACACGGAATGCAGTCCACAGGGAGGGAGGGCTCTTTCTTCAGGGTTCTGTCCTCCCCTCCCAAGGGACAGGCCCAGGACCCACGCAAGCCGCACTGAGCTGTGCCTGCCCCGGATGTGGGTCATAAGCAGAGTGGCCAGAAAGCTGGAACGTTTATTCCAGCAGCAGCGTCCAGGGAAGACGGAGGAGCAGATCCTGCCACCGACCTGCCCTCACAGCTGCCTGACTCGTGGCTGTTTTGAGCTGGTCCTTTGCCCTTCCCTGTAATCCCGCATGTCGCTCCTTGGTCTCCTCCTGAGTTCCCCTTTTGTTTGAGTCACCTCAAGTTGGTTGCTGTTGTTGCACCCAGAGAAGCCACAATGACACAGGATGTCTCTGCACAGCATTGGAGGTGGCCGTGGGCAGGATCACCCGGGGACGGGATGCGGAAAGAGAGACAGTCCTGAGCGAGGCTGGAGTGAGGGGCGGCAGGGAGGCACTCACGAAGCACAGATAATGAGGTCACACGCGGTTGGCTGTCCTCTCTACTAGCCGAGTGACCCTCAGCCTCTCTCCCTAGGCCTCATTCCGCGCGGAAAAGCAATAAGTGTCTCGCATCACCTTCATGCAGCAGCCTTTGAAATCAAAAGACATGATGTGTCTATCTCGCCTGGCACATAGCTGGTGCTTAATACACGTTAGCTTCCTGGCCCTCGCCCCAGCTGCGCCCCCTCCTTAATGCTGCAAGAGTGGCATTTTGTGGAAAACAAACTGCAAAAAGACTGTTTGTGTGTTAGTGTTTTTACCAGGGTAGTAAAAAATGCCCTTTCCAGAAGATGAAAACATTTAAGAATCGTTAAAATAACAGAAAAGAAATTGGCCTTTATGATTTCTATTCCAGTTTCAAATAAATCCAGCTATGTGGCTTCCCTAGGTCTTGAAAACAAAAATAAACTCAAAAAGAAAAATCATTCAGAGCTACGCAGAGGATAGCAGCTTTTCTTCTCAGAAGGGGACAATGAAACTCCACGCCAAATAATCCCAGCAGCTCTGTTCTTTACCTTCAAGCGCACACAGCCGGGCCTCGACAGGCAGCCCAGTTTTCTGAGAGCAAATTTCAGGAGAGACTTTGACTTCAGACAGAGAAAAAAAGATCTTTTCCAGTTTCAATCAGGTCAAACTAAGGGCGGTGTAAGCTCCTCTCTCGGGCCAATAGCCACCTTGCCTTGATGGCGTACTCCTAAAGGGCCAGCCCACTACGGAACGGAGGGCGGCCAGTGTGGCCAAGGACAGGGAACAAGGGGCAGACGGATCTGGAATCAGCTGAGTGTTAGGCAGGTGGGGCCCCATCAGCCATGTAGGAGCCTGGATTTGGTCTAAGTGCAACAGAAGCCACTGGAGGAATTTAAGCAGGAGAGACACGTGATCTTATTTCCTTTCTACAAAGATCCAGCTGCAGTGTGGAGAACATTGTAGTGGGACATATTTGAAATTAGAAGACCAATGATGGCTGCTTTTACTTGTGTCTTAAAGTTGTTAAAAAGAATTATTGGTAGGCCTTCTTAGCTTAAATAAACTCAATGTTATCTTAAAAAGGTTTGGGGGCGGTACATCATCACTGTGAACAAAGGCTCTGGAGCAGTGGCTCTCAAATGAGGGGTGATTTTCACCCCCTCTCCCCCAGGGACACTTGGCAATGTCTGGAGACATTTTTGGTTATCACAACTGTGGGGTGCCACTGGTATCTAGTGGGCAAAGGGACGCTACTAAGGCTACAGTGAACAGGACAAACCTTCCCAACAAAGAATCATCAGGCCATGAATGTCAAAAATGTTGAGGTTAAGAAACCCTGTTATAGAGTTGCATTTCCTGGATTTGGGTCCTGGCTCTCCCAATACCAGCTGTGTGACTTGGGGCAAGTTACTTACCCTCTCCGAGATCTTCTCCACCCTTAAGCCCAGTGCCTTTTCCTGTTACCAAGGGATAGAAGAGGAAAATGGAAAGGCAATTTGCAAGGCTGCCTATCCCACCTACTTTCTAGGTAGAAAGAGCTGCCTGGTACAGCCAGGGAGAGGAGAGGGGGAAACAAGAAAAGGCTTTTCCTATACAGCCAGCAGGAAGAAATACCACCCATCTCCAAGGCTTCTCTCCCCCGCGGTCAGGAACTAAGAAGGCAGGAGACACTCGTGAAAAGGAAAGTGGTCCAGCCCACTGGCTTTGGCACAAACAGACCCAACTTCCATTCCATTTCCACCAAGTAGAAGCTAAGTGGCCTTGAGCAACTTACTTAACCCAAATTTCCATTAACTGTAAAGTATGAGTTATCCTTATAACAGTAAAGCATAAGTAATTTAGTCAACCATTCAAGAGTTCATTGAGTGTCTACTATGTGTCCAGTAGTGAAATAAGTCACGAAAAGCACCAAGGTAGATGTCTGGCACATAACAAATATTCAATAAACAGTCTCTTTTTTAAAAAAATACATCATCAGGACAACACCTATTGGATGCTGGGGAAGGGGGAGGGCAGTGGGAGGAGGGGGGAGGAGGGAGGAGGGGACGGGTATTTGTATACACAAGGAGTGCAATGCGCACTACCCGAAGGATGGACATATTTGAAACACGGACTTCGGGGGCGGCGTGGGCAACATACGTAACCTACACATTTGTTCCCCCCTAATCTGCTGAAATAAAAAAAAAATACATCACTGAGTTCAAAATGTGTTCACTATAAACTTGTGGGACACACAGCATAGTGGACAAATGTTTATCTGCTCGGTATTCCTTTCTTTGATGAAGCAACCTGTTCCGATTCTATAAAAGCTACCTTCGGCGCATGTGCACCCCCAGAGGCATGCGACCCAGGTGTGCCCAATCAGAATGTGCCACTCCTCTGACCACAGCCCAGGGATGGACATGTGAACCAGGCTGGGACAATCAGACTCTTCCCCAGGCTTTTTCTAGAATCCCCAGTTCTAAAGACTATATGAGCATTGCAGAAGGCTTTCTTGCTACCATGTGGGCAGGGCCAGTCTGAGAATGAAGCCAGAGACAAGAGATAAAGGGAGAGTCAAAACCTGGTGACATACTCTGAGTCCTTGGATCCAGCCCTACCTGAGGCTGGTTCAACCCTCAGACTTACAAATTATAAAAGCCAATAAATGCCCTTGCCTTAAGTTGGATCAAGTTAAATTTCCGTCACTTGCAACTAAAAGGGTCAGAATAAAATAAATAGAAAATCACTGTAAATAAAAGAAAGATCACCCATAATGTCATGACCCAGAAGAACCATCATAACCTTTGAGTGTGTGTGGGGGCCTCCCAGGTTTTGTTGTGTGATTCTGGCTTTGTTTTGTGTGTTTGGGGGTTGAGTGGGGTGATTATTTTTAAAATAAGAAAAAAGGATTTCAAGCGATTCTTTGGGCTTGAATCCTGACTCTATTGCTTCCTTAGCTGTGTTGCTTTAAGAAGGTTACTCAACCTCTCTGATATATGGAATGTATATGGTTATGTTCTCCTTTTCTTAGAGTTGCAAGATGCCATTTTAAAAGCGAAAGATCCTGCAGTTATACAGGTGATTAAAAAATAAATAAAAATTGAAAACTAAAAGAGAAAGAAAGATAACAGCTAGCTATGTGGCTATGTTTAAATAAAAAAAAAAGACTGAGTTTCCTGAGCCATTCATTCTCTATTACTCTAGAATAATGGGTTCTAAGAAAATAGTGAAGGAATGAGAAGGTGACAGTTAAAAGACTAAGCACTTTCCAAGGGGCTTTTAGTTGATTTATGAGAGGAATGGGAATATAGTGTTCGACTTTTAAACAAAACCAAAAATCTCATAAAGCAGTTCTTGTGGCTGCATCTGGATCAGTTATGAGATACATCAAGTAATAACGTGTTCCTCATTATCAAAGCTCGTGAAACATTTTTTAAATTACAGCAGACTATTGATGGATATTATTATAACTTCACGCACTTATGACATAATAACGTCATTCACTTTACTTTCTTAAGTGGGAGATAACGGGATAGCATTAGAGCACAAGCCATCATTGATCTTCATTGAGCAAAGTCCATAAAGAACGCAGCTGAAGTATCAATTCACTGTGGCTGTTACAAATTATCGTGGTGCTTTCCTCTTCCCAAAGGTTTGGGGTTTCATCAAAACCTGGGAATGCTAAATGCACACATGTAAAAGTCATCCATCCTGCATCTTGAGAGAAAAGGTTAGGAATCGCTGCCCTGTAGGATACACAACTGAGAAAGCAATGATAGAGCTGAGATGATATCACATCATCTGAAAATAATAAGCAATGGTATTCATGGCCTCTGACGGCCATACTGCTGCACAGAACATAGACCAAAAAAAATTTTTTTCAAATTTTGAGCTAAAACGAAACCCTATTCACTGTATCACTGGGATTAGAGAGGACGTGAAATACTGCAATGGGAGGAAATGCCTTGTCTGAAGCAAACAGAGCTAAAAGAAGGGAGCAGGGAACAGCACTGTGTATCCAGGGAACAGCACTGTATATCCAGTAGGCAGACTATATAGGAATCCAAGAATCTGAATTTCAAGATTTAGTTTTGAGGAGAGTTGAGTAAACATTCAAAATAAAAAGGGAAAATCGAATACAACGTGTTGTTTCAAGAGTGACCAACCTTCTCGGGCACCGGCCCTCGCGACGAGCCCTCCAAGTCCTCGTGCACACGATCCAGCAACCAGAGCAGGAATTCCAGGGCATCGTGCTGGGAATTGCCTTGGAACTGAGAGCCGTACTTGGAAACTGCATTCTGAAAGGAAAAAAAGAAAACCAGGGGTCAGTTTGGCCCTTTATGCAACCAAATGGAGGGCCTATAAGCACCAGGTCTACCAAGTGGTCATTGTGCCCTGACCTAGGATGCCAGCACACAGACAACGCGGGGTGGAAATGTTCTTTCCTGCCAAAGCCTGCCCTTGGGGGCGTGTGCCGAAATGGTGTGAGGGCTCTCTGTATAGGAGAGGGCACTTTTTGCCCCAGAAGGACTACTGATGTATGTCCCATCCTTTGAAAACCCACAGGGTTGTCTCTGTTGGATATTCTGATACTGCTGACCATCTGTCGTCTCTAAAGCTCTCATCCTTTGCTGGGGTACCATGCTCCACTGGTCTCCCCTCCATCGGTCCATTCCCATATTGTTTCTGTGCACCCCACAGGTGAACAGTCTTCTCTCTCTTGTTGATGTCATTCATTCCCATAGCCTCATCTCTCTCTTTGGGGATGACATTTGCAGTGAGGTTGACTTCCTTAAATATTAACACAATGTAGTATGTAGCTCCTTTACTGCCTCGTAATGATGGGTATGAAATTTAAGGATACAAACTTCTCTCTCTGTGGTTAGATCATAAAATGATTGGGCCAGCCCTTCATTCCTTTAACAAATATGCACTGAGCGCCAGCTACATGCCAGGCACTGTTCTAGGAACCAGGGGATACAACAGTGAACAAAACAGGCAAGACTCCCTGTCCCCATGGTGCTTACATTCTTTGTACCCTTTGTTAAACTTTGTAACAACTTTGTCGTTTTCTGTGTAAATGCATATTTTAGCTTTTTAAAAGTTTATTTCGCCAAAGGGTAATATATGCACATACTGAAAAAAAAAGGAATTCAAAATACAAATAAGAATGGTAATGAAGTCTTCCTTCTACTCAGCCTCCATTCCCTGGTACCCCTCCCCAGAAGGCAGCCACTCTTAGCAGTCCCTTCAGCATCTTTCCAGGGATGTTTGCGATGCATGTGCAAGCGTATGAGCATGTGAGTGTTAAGTAAATCCCCTTGTTTTTGTGAACACACGTGCACATGCACACAGCACACCACGGTGGTCGGCCCCACTCCTAGACTGCAAAGCCAGGCCTCCAGCCTCGTCCCATGCAGGTCTGTTATCTGCTCACACCTGCCAAGGGGACCGGTCTTAGCAAGGCTGAGGACCAAGACAATTCTTAAAACTGCCAATCAAATCAAGTGGTCTGGGCTTTCTTTCTTTCTTTTTTTTTCTTTTAATCTTCCCTTGAGATTTAAAGAAAACTTTAGGAAGAGACAAAGCAAAATGCAAGGCTGGGTGCAGTGGCTCACTCCTGTAATCCTAGCACTCTGGGAGACGGAGGTGAGAGGATCGCATGAGCCTAGGAATTTGAGAGCAGCCAGAGCAAGAGACCCCAACTATACGAAAAATAGAAAAGTTAGCTGGGCGTGGTGGTGTGCGCTTGTAGTCCCAGCTACTCGGGAGGCTAAGGCAGGAGGATCTCTTAAGCTCGGGAGTTTGAGGTTGCAGTGAGCTATGATGACACCACTGCATCTACCCAGGACAGCAGAGTGAGACCCTGTCTCAAAAAAAAAAAAAGCAAAATGCAAGATCTAACTAATTGAAATGCTGGTTCTGGGTCTTTATTCCAATACATTAGTTTGGATTCTTTCTCCAGGCTTATGTGCACTTTGACCCTCAAGTAGGGCTGCCAGATTTAGCAAATAAAAATAGAATATGCCAAGGGAAATTTGAATTTTACATAAACAATGAATTTTTTAATAGAAATATGCCCCATGTAATAGTTGGGATATATTTATACTAAACAGATATTCATTGTTCATTTGCAATTAAAAGTCAACTGGACATTGCATATTTTATCTGGCAACCCTACCCACCGGCCCAAGCCACCGTCAAACCTATATCCTAGTACGAACATTTTCTTCTGGGTGAGCAGCCAGCCCCTCCAACTCAAAATCTCTAAAACCAGTTCTTCCTCTTAATGTAGGTGTCATCTTTCAGATTCTCCCTCATATCAGCTGTCAAGCAGTCTGGACTCTGGCTCCCAAAATGTCTCTGCCCTTCCCTTACAGTAGAGGCTCATTCCAACTGCTGAACTCTAACTACTGCTGACCCAGATGACAATACCTACCTAAGGAGGAGCCCAGCCCCTAGACTCTCAACCTGCCAAAGCAGACCAATGTTCCTACAGCTCAGCTGGATGATGTCATTTCTTGATGCCACATCCTCCTTACTCTCCAACTCACCACCTAATAGTCCAAGCACCTTCTCTGGTCTAGCCCCAATCCATGTGTTTCCACATTTCAAAGCTCCAGGTAAACAAGCTACTCAGGTACCCCAAAGGTGCTCTCCTACTTTTGCAGTCTAGACCTTTACTTCCATTTTTACTTCCAAGTGAAATGCATTCCTTTCCAGTGAGTCGTGATAATCCTTTAAGACTAACACTCTTCCTCCGGGCCTGGGTATTACTTTACAACCTTTCCAGAAAGAATTGGACAACTTCAAGAAGACAGACAAGACAGGGCCTTAAAAATGTCCCTCTCAATAAACATAGTAACTCCACTTTTGGGAATTTAGCCTAAGGAAATGAGAGATACAAGCAAAGATATCTCTCCATATCAAAGTCATCTGGGGGGAAACTTACGGCACACTCATATTAGATGGCTTAAAAATCATGACTGAGTTAATGCGAATGAGAAAAGAAAATAATCCTGTCGTAAAAAAGAAAAGAGTGCAAAAATATAGGATTGTTTTAATTCTACATTTATAGATAGAAAAATAAAATACCAGAAAATCTATGACAAAGTATTAACAAATGTTATAGAATGATGGGATCATGGACAATTTTTTTTCACTTTCATTTGTACATTGTAAATTTTTTTTACAGTGACTATTATTCTTTATTGGCCTTTTCCAATTATAAAGTATCTGAAAGGCATTTTGAAGAATTTTTTTATAACTTAACCTATTAATTCCTACAGAAGACATCCCCATAAAAGTCTATTGAAATGTGACCACAACTGCATTAAAACTAAATACAAACTCGGGAAGGAAGATCTGAGATTTCTATCTGTGTGCATGTGTTTTCTCTCCCAAACATTTCTTATCAAAATTATTCCTAGTCATTTCATATTTCTGGTTGTTTTTAATGAATAAAATCTCATGCTTATGTGTTCTAAATGGTTATTGCTTTTGACTGTCTTCTACCCGATCTCATTAGTGACAGCAATAATGCTAAAACACAGATTTCTAGAACCATTTGGCAATTTTCTTTCTGTTCAATGTTTTTTACTCCATTTCATGACTGTTTTGTCCAGAACTTCTAAAACATAAGAGTGATGAAGAAGACGTCCCTGTTTTTAAAATGAAATGCCTCCAGTATATCACTGCAGATCTAAAATTGATCCTTAAGCACATAAGCTAAGTTCCAGATGGCTGAAATTCTTAATATAACCATAGAAAAACTAGAAGTACATAAAATAGAATATTTATCAAAAGGTATCATATACATAAATCTAAAGCTTCCTATATTGGGGTAGGGAGAAGAAGGAGAGAGTTTAGATAAAAATATTTGCAGCAAATATGACAAGGGTTAAGGAACTTATAGAAACAAAAAGAACGTTGAGACTAAAGCCGAATGGATACGCAGCAATGTGAACAGACAATTCCAAGAGCAGACTTACAACTAGTAAAGAAACATGGGAAAATCTTCTGCTATTTCCAGCTTCAATACATGAATGAGATGAAGATCAACATGGTGATTCTAGTGAATAATAATGTATTATACACCTGAAAATTGCAAAGGGAATAGACCTTAAATGTTCTCACCACAAAAAAATAAGTATGTGGCCAGGCACGGTGGCTCACGCCTGTAATCCTAGC